TGTGTATATATATTATATATATATATATATATATATATATATATATATAAAATATGTAATTTTAGAATATAGATAAATATATGTATCTTTACATAATATAATCTATTAGTAGAAAACACAAAATAAGCAAAGCGGTAATCGATAGTCAGTATGTAATAATATTTCACTACCAATTCAAATATGCAAAATCATCGAATTATATAGAAACGTCATATTATATGACAAATATAGTCAGATTATATAGCAAACATATTAAACATACATCAAAATAATATATTTTTAATTAATTTGGCATTCCATTTACATTAAAATTATCGAAATTTTGCAAAAATTTTACAATTATCGAAAAGGCAACATATGATGGTACGTACTGACTTCATCATGTAACAAAAAACAAAAACAAAACAATTGTTAAATTACACACAATTATTAATTTAAGAGATGAATGGATGAAAGAAGTATCGATACTCTTAAAGAAGTTATTATATCTGAAAATTATATTATAAATTTATAATTGAATGAAAATTTATGTATACATATGTATGCATAAATATATATGTTAATATATAAAATAGCATTTTATTTTTTTAACATTTATAAAAAAATTATTTCCATACCACCTTCATCCATTTGAATTATTATATGTTTAGGATTATAATATCCTAAATTAATTTTTCAATTAATCACCACTTTATATTCCACCCAATGGGAGGTAAAGACACGTTCACACTGGGCAAGAGGTGCATGGAATAATTTTTAAGATCAGCAAAACATTTCATGAGCAACTCATAGCTAAGAGATGTTAAGTTGATTATTTCGTTAAAGATGTGATAAGTCGTCTCAGTGACACCATATTGGACATTGCGCAGAGAATCCGCAATGGTAATGTAATGCTTCTGCGCGATGTAAGCTCCTGAAACAAAAAGAAGATAAGGGCCAGGATAGGTTTATCTGCCTTTCTGATGCTGAGGTCCCGTTAACATGACATGGTCTGACTGCGCTTGGATCGGTTTAGATATCCGTAGATCAATGGAATCCAGAATGATGTCTTTTTTTTAATATTCTCTAAACAAATTCGAGATGTAAAACTTACCAAATAAGAGAAGTAACGGCAAAAGCGTGATCCAAAGAATTTTTGGGCCTTTCTCTTGTAGCCATTTTCTAGTACCAGTGAATTGACTTAACAACCAAGTATCAAATAAAAGCATTCTAGCGAAGAAGAAGTATATATTGTGCGTATAACGGTCCAAAGTCTGCCACAATGTTCTCCATTTGGATTCTAAACAATAAATTCATCAGTTTTATTAATCATGTTTTAATTGTAATATTTATGCTGTTTTTTATAAAAGATAATTATTATATGATATTCAACTGTATTTATATTATTTTTGTATCATTAAAAATGCTGATAATACCTTTATAAGATTGATAAGTTTGTGCATGATAATAATGCCTTTTCCTATCTTCTGAGGTTCTAAAGAAACCAATAGTTTTTCTGAAGCAAGTGACAATGAAAGTTATAAAATATGTAAACCACTGTACGATCCTCCAATTTTGGTTAATTCTAATTGATGATTTTGATAGAAGAGTCTCTTCCAATTCGGCATCAGAATCAACATATGTTGCATCATATTTGCCTGTTAATTTTGAAGTATTTGCCCATGGTGAATATCTATTAAAATAAAGTTGTATTATATCTTAATCTTATTTAACAAGTTTTATTTTAAAGAAGAATAAAATACCTTAGCCGAAAATCTGAAGAATATTCGGGTTCCGAGTAAATTAATTCTTTATGACTTGTGTATTGTTCTATGTGCGTCTTTTTGTACAGAGTTGCTCTTCTTGTAGAATTTGTACGTGCATGCGACATGTCGTTATTATCTTCAGACTGCAAAATCCACATATTATTCCAAAACACAGATACGCGAAGCTGTGATATATCAAGAAAAATAAAAGAATAATAATCTCAAGATAACACATACTTACCGAATGGATCAAAGAAGCAGTGTCTTTCAAATCAGCCGTATCGGTGTCGCTGATTCCGCTTTCCGTGGTTCTTCTTGAAGCCTGGCTCAAGTTTCGACTAATTTGAGATATAGTATTTTCATCATACGTGTGTATAGGCTGCCTTGACATGTTGGGCATTGCTAATATACCCGGAGCTATCTCGTAACGACACTGCGACGTCGGCGAATATGTATAATCTGTCTTTGGAAAAACGCTAAAACATTTCCAAATAATATCTTATCGTTCACACAAAAAAATGATTCAAATGATTCAAATTCAAATCTTTCTAATTCTAGCATTAATTATCGACACCAGTAACTTGATCTATATTTCACAGCTAATGTTAATCAGGACATGGTACTGTTATTAATATTTTACTTTAAAATTTGTTTCTTCAACAGAAAGGTCATATTTCATTTCTAAAATAAATAATCTCAAGTTATAAGGAACAAATATATATCACAGAGAGAGAAAGTTGTTATATTAGCATAATGATTTAAAATTCTTTTCTAAATAACAGAAAACATGTATAGGACACGGAATAAAACTTGAGATATACATACTTCCACCATTCGCCAGCTTGTTTGTAAATCTCATAGGCGGATCCTATTCTACTCGGAGGATCTTCCCTTTCTCCTTCTTCGGATGAATAATCACTGGTAATCGTCCCATGGAGCTTAACACTTTTACGTTTTTGCTTGGATTTTTCATCGGATACATCTTCCTTTTCATTCTGGCTGCTAGCAAATTTTTGTTTCTTGAGTCTTTGACGTTCCGACCGACGTTCCGCTTTTTTTGTGGTAACAACAGAACCCTCGGATATTGTACTTTGGTTATCGGTCAGACTTTCAGTGACAGACCCTTCTTTGTTCTCTTCTATTGTTTCCATTCCCTTTTCATGCATTTTACTACTAGTTCTATACATAAAAATACAAGCGATAAAATATATAATTTTGTAACATTAATAGCAAATGCTTAAATCAATTACTACTTATACTTACAATGATCTAGAGGTAGACCTCCTGCTGCTAGTTACCTCTCCAGGTGTGTGAGATCTCTCCCGACTTCCATTCCTAAGATCATAATGATGCTCTGTCACGTCTGGCTCTGGCAAAGGATTGCTCAGGACCATAGGTGTATGGGAGCGTGATCTGCTTCTGCTGCGCAGCTCATAGTGATGCTGCTCAGTCTCCATCTTCCTATTGAATAAAGAAACACACCCAGGGTGATCTCGAAAATTATAGCGAGACGCTTATCCTAAGAAACAGAGGCGGCCAAAGGTTATCGCTTTCGGGGCGAGAGCCGCAAGGGGAGAACATACGTCCGACCGTACAACGCCTAAAAATAGTACCCCTCCCCGAAGGACACAGCTGCGGTCCTTCCCGTTGGATCCCTATTTCTAGCCTCTTTTCGCCGCGCACCACCGCTCGCCGGAAACTCCGTGTTCGTGAGGGCACGCAGTGCCGTTGTCGATCAGCAGAATCGCCGCGGCTCGGCCGCTAATCTCTGAAGGTGCGCAATGCTCCTGAAGGAGGAAGGAACGAAGAATTCGATCGTGCACCAACCGTCGTACCTATCCTCCCAATCAACAAATAATCGGAGACTGGCCCGCTCCGGTGGATTCGCACCGCCTCGGCCTCGACGAATAGTGACACCGCTATTTATAGAAGACTCACCGTTTCCGCGCGCGCGGCGACACTTAACGGGACGCGCGACCGTCGTCGCAGGTCGCGTATCTCACGTTGCGCAATACGCGCGACGCGCGAAGACCGCGGGACGCGGCTCAATCGGGGAAAAAAAAGACTAGAGAAACAAGAAAAGTCAACATACGTGCGGCCAGCTCGCAATACGCGCGCGCGCACGTATCGTGCACGTGTGTGTGTGTGTGAAGGAGAATGCAAGTACGTACGTCGTACTACGTGCGCGCGTATCGTCTCACGCGTAGAAAACGCGAAGTGCGTGCGCATTTTGCCCGATGATTCATACCCCTCGCGATTCTCTTTACTGCGAAAGATTGCAGGCATGGAGGGGAAAAGGGAGAATCCACTTTACGCTCGCTGTTTTTGTGCGGTTTCATTTTTTTTCTCCTTCTTTTCCACGATTTACTGCTAATGTCGAAAGGCGCCTCGGCACAGAAAATGAGGTGACCATGTTAAGATTTAGAGTCGTCCCTCGTCTTCATTTCTATTAATTAAGATTAAAAAAAATAAATAATGAATACTAACGGTAATAATAATAATAAATAATTTTAAATTAACTTTAGTCATTACTTTTTTATTTTTTTTTTATTTCTAAAGATTGGAAAAAGATGAGTAAATTAAACCGAGATTAAAATTAATAGACATTAGTAGAAATAGATATTAATATGAAATGTTAATTACTCCTTCTCTAATTCTTGGAATTAAAAGAAAAAAAATAAATCAAAATTAAAATTAATCTACATTGTAAAAATGAATATATAAATTAACCGAAGCTTGATCAAAATAATCTTTAATATAAGGTTAATGAATGTCGTCCCAATTCGGATATTTATATCGGATCTAAAACAATCAGTCTGCGCTATAATTACGATATCTCCCCTTCCTTTAGATCCCTAGTCGTAATCGCTACTTCATATTCATGCGCGATTCGCAGATCCTTTTGAAACGCGCCTTTAGCCTACGGCAGGACGCGAGGATCCGCAATTGAAGAAAACGGGTGGCGCATGTGTGCGCGCATGCGCAGCGGCACGTTATAAATACAACCACTAGGCCCTCGCTCGTGTCGAGTGAAGTTGTCGGCGGAGTCACAGTGGTCGTATGATGGCGCAGTATGTCGGCCGTCCGCGATTCGCGCCGGCGACGATTCTTTTGCTACTTGTTCCCGTGTACGTTGTTCAGCTAGCGAACGCCGACACGTCGACGTTAATATCGTCGACGACGAGGACGACGACCGGGACGACGAGAGCAACGACGGTGGCCAACACCGTCCAGTACAATGATATTCTGCCGCGCGTCGTCCAGGTCGCGGTGAATTCGGCGGCGGTCGTCGCGTTGTCGGCACTGCCGTTCAGTGCCAACCCCACCGACTTTCATCGAGTTCCCCTCGTCGAGTTCCTGGGTACCGGCCTCGATCGCGACCTCGCGCTACAATGGTCGCCGTCGAACCGAGACTGCCCGCGGGACGCGGGCAACACCCTGGACGCGGTGTGGATGTCGTCGGCGAGGGACCGCGGTATCTACGAATTCCGGACGGTTCCAGACGCGAAGGTTACCGCCGTCTATTTTTGCCTGAGAAATCGCAGCGACGAGAAGTGGAGCAATCTCGGGGATCGTGTCTCCATAAAATTTCCGGTACGACCGGAGTAAGTAAGCGCTTTGACAAGCCTTTCTTTCTATCTAAATTTAAGCCCGCATTTTATCCTGCTCTTTCTCTTCGTTCTTCTCTATATTCTCTCATTTTCTTTAATTTTGTTCATTGCCTCCTTTATTTTTCTCTTTTTTTTCATGATTCATCTTTATTTTCTTCTTCACATTCAGCTTTACTTTTTCTTTTTTTACCTTGTTTTCCCCTTTATTTTTTCTTCCTTTTCTTTCTTTTCTTTTTATTTTTTTTTCTTCGTGCCATCTGTAAATCTGTCATTCTGTCGATTTTCTCAACATTTATATATTTTCCAATTTTATCTTTCACTCTATGATACAATGCAGATGTGATTTCTAAAATTAATCAGAGAATGTCCCTAGTGAAGATGTCATATGTAATTTATTTAATTTAATCCGAGGAAATATGACTAAGAGTATAAAAACAGACATGAAGTAATAGAAAGTATATGATTACTTTGTACACTGGACATTTATATTTTCAGCAGTGACATTAAAGGCCTTGTAAAAGATTCTTTTTAATTAAGTCAACTATACAAATAAGATGTCTTGAATCTTGTAATTTTTAAATAATATTAAATTTATATTATATTAAACTTATATTTTTATTAAACTTATACTTTTTATATTAAACAAAAAATTTGAAACTGTGTACTTTATTTTGTAATAAAACATTGTAATTTTTCTTAGGCATGTTCGTTTTACGGCAGGACACATGTTCCATAGATAACTTT